AGTGTTTGAGCCACTGAGCTAAATTCCTGGCCCTATAGGAGACATATTTTAAATGCAAAGAAGACCCACAGTTAGTTTCACTATCTAAAGACCTGATTTCTTTTTGCAGTGTTGGGGGTTGAACCAAGGACCTCACACATACCAGGCAAGCACTCTACTACTGAGTTAATATTGACACCTCCAAATATTTGAATGTTATCCAATGCAATTGATACACTAGGGACAATTTACACATAATGGAAAATTTGCACTTGCTAATGTATGGTTTCATTTGCAAGAAATATTAAGGAAATACAAAATTACCCGATGGCTGATTTGTGACATGCGTAACAGTACAAGAAGCACACACATTTCTTACGTTTTCTAGTCACCTGATTCACTGTGTGCTATAAATCACATCCATCTACATTTGGTATAACATTTGATTTCGATCTGCTTTCCAAAAAAAATCCCTTCTACCACTTCATTCATTAGCAGCAATCCTCCCAAGGTGCACTTTAACAAAGAACCTTGAGCTTTTGTTCAGAGTAAAATGTCATATACAGATATTCCTCATTTAACAACTGTTTGGACATACAACACAGGCTCTTGTTCAGACTTACTACCCACTCTTGGAATTAGGACCCACATTTGGAATATGAACAGCAGTGCAGCCCTATGGTGGCTTCTCCTAAAGTAGATACTGTAAACACTGTATTCAATTACAGTAAATACTGTGATTTTTGCTGATTTTTCTCTTATATGTTACAGTACTGCATGTAAGAGTTATGCAAATAAAAACAAAGTCATCAAGTTGGAATTTCCTTTGACAATTTCTTGGTTCTGAATATGTAATTACATACTATTTACAATTTCTTATTTAAGGATCAATTCATGTATCAACCTAGTTATGGGAACAGAACTTGTCATTAAATTTAGAAGGTCTGAATATTGTAGTGTTCAACCTGTATAAAACTACACAGATTTGGTTATAGATTTGATTATACATTTGGTTATAGAGTTTTTAAAATATAATTCAGATGGTGTATCTTTTTTGTCTGGTTGGCTTTTTTTACTTTTTTGAGACAGAATCTCTCAGTGTGCAATCCATGCTGGCCTCAAATTCACACCAGCCCTCTTGCCTCAACCTTCCAAGTACTGGGACTACAAGTGTCAAGAGACAACCTACAGAATGGGGAAAAGAATGCCAGATATTCCTCAGACAGATGACTGACATCAAAAATACATAAAACACTAAAATTAGGCTACACAAAATAAAGACCCAATGAAAAAACTGACATGAATAGACACTTCTCAAAAGTATAAATGGCCAATAAATATACGGAAAAATGTTCAACATCACTAGCCATTAGAAAAATGCAAGTTAAAACAATATTGAGGGGCTGGGGATTTAGCTCAGCGGCATAAGCACCTGCCTTGCAAGTGTGTGGTCGTGAGTTCGATCTCCAGTACCGACAAAAAAGGAAAAAGACCAAAAAAAAGAAAAAAACCAATATTGAGATATTGTCTTACTCCAGAAACAACAGCTATCATCAAGAAATCACATAATAATATGCTTTTTGGGAAAAGTGCAGAGTGGTGAGTGACAATAACGCAGTCTCTCCAAGATTCAAAATTGAGACACTGGAAATTGAGACAACTCTGGCAAGACAATAAGAGACACGGAGGTGCCCAGAAATCAGGAAGGATCTGATAGGCAGCTTAAAACCTACAGAGAGGTTGAAGCCCTAGAACACAACAGAAGAAGGGAAAAGACAGTCCGCACGTCTAGGTTGTGGATCATGGGGCAGGAAGAAGGAACTGGCAGAGACAAAGGGAAAGCTAGAGCTCTCGAAGGCTTCAAGGAGCAACTCGTGGCACACGGACTAGCAGGTGCTGTGAGTCGCAGGGACAGTCAGGATTGCTGCGCCTGCATGAGTCCTTCGACAGGCAATAACTGGCGTCTGACTAATGCCACCTGGGACCTCTTCCCAGAGCGCAGAGCTATGGCCCTTACACAGGCTCTTACACTAGCAAAGGACAAAGTCAAAAACATATACACTGATGATTCAAAGTATTCATTTAGCATTTTACACTCCTATGCCACTATCTGGCAAGAAAGGGGTTTTGGGGCTGGGGATTTAGCTCAGCGGCATAAGCACCTGCCTTGCAAGCAGGCGAGTTCGATCCCCGGTACCGATAAAAATGAAAAACACAAAAAAAAAAAAAAAAAAAAAAAAAAAAGAAAGAAAGAAAGGGGTTTTACCAACACTCAGGGAATACCTATCATTAATGCATTAAAGATAGGATTAATTATCCTTAAACTCCTAGAAACAGCAGAACTCCCCAAGCAAGCCGCAATCATTCATTGTAGAGGACACCAGAATGCTAGGGATCCCATCACTCACTGCAATGCCTTCGCAGATTCACAAGCCAAGTTAGCTGCACAAAGGACCTGTCCTCATCTTCTCCTGCTAGTCCCAAACAATCTACCTCAGCCTAATTATTCGCCAGAGCAGCTACAGCTACTTCATAAACCAGGTTACACACAACACACTCAGGGATGGATTTTCCAGGGATCAAAACTTGTTCTCCCAGGTCAGCAAGCCTTAGACATCATCGCTGACTTACACAACTATTTCCATGTAGGATCACAGGCCCTATACAGACTCCTTTTCTGAGGGCTCTCCTTCTTCAGATTACTCACACCTCTCATCTCTGTGCCAGGACCTGTCCTCAGGAACATTTAGCACCCACTGTCTTTCCTACTCATCAATGTCATGGACCCATGTCTGGTCAGCACTGGCAGATAGGCTTTACACACATGCCCCACCACAAAACTTTCAAATATCTTCTTACCTTTGTCTATACTTTTTCAGGATGAATAAAAGCCTTTCCCACAACCAGGGAGACCGTTGATATAGTTACTAAAGTTGCATAACAAAAAATCATCCCAAGGTTTGGTCTACCTCGGAGTATCCAGTCAGATAATGGTCCAGCCTTCATTTCTCAAATCACTCAGCAGGACTACAACTAACATGGAGTAGCCCCTACCTGGTCTTCCTTGAAACTCTAACAGCAGTCACGGTCGCTGGACTGCCATCCTGGTTCCACCTCACTCAGGGCTAAGCGGTGCCCTCCTAACCCTCACTGCCCTGACTATACATCCTGAGTGGTCATCACATCGCCTATTTCCCACCTGTCTCCACCTCACCAAGGCCCCAGCACCACAACTTTCAGGCTAGGCCATCTTTTGTTAACCTATTTGGTTCCTGATCCCTTACACGAGACCCCCTCTTCCCCCGCCAGGGTCTAGGATCTCTCACTCACAGTGACCAGTCACAGCCCTCCCCACCCTTAGTTTATAATTTCTCAAACATGACTCAACTGTAACAGGCTTTACATTTCTGATGCTTTCCATTCTCTCCAGCTCAACCCCTGGACCAAGGACAAGTCCTATCCATATTTTTACCTTTTCAGACGGGAGAATAATGGCCTTCCATAAGTTCACCCCTCCTGCCTCCCAGCTCATTTTTCAGATTCTTCCTCACCACAGTCCTGAGGAAAGGACACATTTGGATCAAGGGCACTTTTCCTTCTACCTCTCCTAGGTCCTTTAATTATGACAGTGGCCTGCCTCCTCATAGGGCCTTGTCTTTTGATTTCTCCAATCTAGGATGTAGCATTCACCAACAAAAAACTCCGTGTCCTGGCTGAAACACCTGGTACCAGCTTCTACATGGGCATCGATGGTCATCCTGTCAACCCTCCTAAACCCCAGCAAGAGGCCCGCGGCCAGCAGGAAGCAGAGCAAGAGACAGTAAGACAGCAAGAGACAGACTTTGCCCTTTTCCTAACAATACAAAGACAGGAATGAAATGTTCTTGCCCTAGTATGCATTACTGTTCCATTATGGTGATGGTCTAACATGGCTGAAGGCTGAACCTGGAACACTGACCTCCCCTTCCTGCTTCTTCAGCCCTAATTGCAACCCCGCCCCCCACTTTTTTTTTTTTTTTTTTTTTTTTTTTTTTTTTTTTTTTTTTTTTTTTTTGCCTGCAAAGAAAATTCCAATCAGTTCCTCACCGGTCATGTCCGCCCCATGCACCACTTCGGGCCAGCGATCCTATAACCCTAGACCTCTCTGTATCCGCTGGAAGGACAGCCCAGCTGCTACAGGTTGTGTGTTCCTTTCCACGTCCTCAATAAACCCGTTCTTTTCTTTTTTTGTACTTTGCACTTCTCTATTGCGCCAGAAAAGTCTAACAGAGATTTCTGGAATACTAGCGAGTGCCATTCTACATTCCTTTGTGTTTGCTGTAAAACTTAATACATATTAATAATGATTATACGTAGTACATATACAGGGATATATAATGTACTCTTTGCTTCATCTTAAACTTGTTCTTTTTTTACTTTAAAACTAAAAACCGAAGAAAATCATTAAGTCGCAAAAAAGAAATACGACTTCTCTTTCAGTTGCCCATTAGTGTTAAGTCACCTAAACTGCCCTCCTGCTGGAGCCCCACCTGGCCACACCCGGTCGCTCCTTCTCTTGGGAGCTGGCCCACTGCCCTCCACAGGCTGCTCCTCTGTCTGGCAGAGGTGAGTGGACTAGGGGAGGCAGAGAAGTGCGAATGGGATATATAAAATCGGGGGTGGTAAACTGCACGGGCATGGGATTTATTTTTACCTAGGAAATTCCCACGATAGACCTGAAAAAAGAAAGGCAGCCAGTGCGAGGGTTCGCCAAGGCAGACGGTGAGCCGCCGGCTCCCGGCAGCTCCCGCAGCGCGGCGGAGCGCGGCCCGGACTCCGGACGGCCCGGCAGGCGCCTGCTCCGGATGGCGTCGACGCTGCGCAGCGGCCGCAGCCGCCCGTCCACCACGTCCCGCGCCCGTCGGCCCTGGAGGCCCCGCACCTGCCCGGCGGCGCCGCCCGGCGGCCCTGACCCCGCCGCGGCCCTGACCCCGCCCCGTCCCCGCCCCGGGCTGCCCTGGCCCCGCCTCCGGCCCCGCCCGCCAGCCGCAGCCGCCCGGCTCTCACTCAGCCCGCTGCGGCCGCGCACGTCGGGCCCGCGCCCAGCGGCTGGAGATGCGGCGGGGCGCCGCGCTGTGCCTGCTCCTCGGGCTCTACCTCGGACTCCTGCACGGTGAGCCGCGGCGGGCCGGCGGCGGGGAGGGCGTTCGGGACTCGGGGCCACACCGGCCGGCCGGGGGGTTTGGCGTGCGGCCGTCGCGGCGGGGACCCCGTGCGCCCCTCCTCGCCCACCAAGCGATGCCGCCTCCCCGGAGCGGGCACCGGGCTGCGCCCTCAGCCTGGCTGCTCGTCGGCGGGGTCCTGACGAGGCGCCCCGCTTCCCGCCCGACCCCAGACGCGGTGCTTCCCGAGGCCTGGGGAGGGCCGCGGAGAGCCCCAGGGGGCGCTGGGCACCGGGTCCCCCTCCCCAGCCGGGTACGGGGAGGCGCCCCCGCGGGGCCGTGGGAGCGGAGGGCGCAGGCGCAGGTTGGACTTGGGGTACGGTGCCCGCGCGACTTGAGGAGCCCAGTTGAGGAGGGCCAGGGTTCCCCAAATCTGGGGAGAAGGGCCTTGAAAGCCAGCTAAGCAGCCCGGACTAGAAAAGGGACCGGCCACGGGAGAGTCCTGGGCGCAGGTCTGGCAGGTGTTAGGTTGGTTCGGGAGCCGCTGAGGGGAAGAGCTGAGGGCCTGGAGCGTGGGGAGGAGGAGGTGGCAGAGGGACAGAGGGAGAGGTTGGAAAGAACTCACGGGGGTGAAAAGAGGATGAGCTGTGAGTTTGGATACCAAGGAGTGGAGGTAGCGTCGTGGACGTCCAGCTGTTTGCCAGAGGCGTACAGGGAGGCCCCAAAACAGAAGAGGAGACTTTGGTACCTTTTGTGTTTCCGAAATAGAATGCTGGCCTTACATACTTCATATCTTTTAGTTCTCACACTGAGCAAGAGACCCATTTCACACGTGGGGAAGCTTAGCACTAGGCCAGGCGTCACTCTCCAAGGTCCTTGGGAAGCCCCAGGAGGAAGAGAGGAAGAGCGGCCGGCTCCTCTGAACGCGCGTGGGGAGGACAACTGTCCCGGCCTGCGCAGGGCCCTTTTTCTTGGCTGTTTCTTGCTCCCTGTGCCTAGACCAGGGTCAGGATCTCATAGGGGCTCAGTACTACCAGGGGAGGCGGTGGGAACTTGGCTGGACAGCAGGGGTAAGGAAGGAAAGCTCTTCCCTGGAACACACTTTGAGAAACATCTGCCAGGGCAGCAAGACATGTGTTGAGGTGCAGAAGATAGGCTGGCTGCGCAGCAGGCAAGAAGTGGAGCAGAGGCCTGCCAGGAGGCTGGAAGGAGCCAGGGAGAGGAGGACATTCTGCAGCTGTGAGACCCAGGAGGTGGAGGGGTGACGAGAAAGGGGCACTACTCCCTGGGCGAATGCTGGCGACCCCCTAGACCCAACCATGGGTGTCGGCTGCAGGGTGGTGTCCCAGACAGGCCCTGTATGTGACTCATTGGCGATGCAGTGAAGAGGCCGTTTCTCCCTGCTCCTGTCCCTCACCTCAGTGTGCTGGGCTGAGATGGACCAGGAACCCCCAGCCTAGAGCAAGAGCATAAATCTCTAAGTGTAGTCAAGCGCCAGGAAGCCCGAGTGGAACAAGGGCAAGTAGACTGTGGGCCCTCAAGCTGACCCTTGACGTTGTCCTGGCCTGCCCCTAGGTCTTCGCAGTGAAGCCTGGGCCCCTCTTCCCCTAACTGCACTTTAGTTTCCCCACTCATGCCAAGTAGCAGACTAGCAAACACTGACCATGCTGGACTTCAAGGCAGGACATCTAGTCCGGCTCTGGTCTGTGTGCCTGTGGAGGTGGCAGGTGGTAGCTCCATGAGGCCTCATCTCCTGAGACTTAACCTCCTAGGAGGAAGCTCTTTATGCCCTGAGACAGGGGGCAGCCACCCTAGGGAAACAGAGTGCAATCTAGAGACTTCTGGATGCTTGAGGTGGGCTGGCCTGGCCTAAACACACACACCTTTGCCATGGTCTGGGTCACATGGCAGAATGTGGGGCCTGAGCCCACCTTACTCGGTGCCTGTGGACTTCCTGCCCTAGCTCAGTCCTCTGGTACCCAAATGCAGGTGATGCCCATCTGCTACCATGTTAGGTACAGAGCCGGTGTGGTACCAGTGGCTCTGCTCCTTCTCCAGAGCACAGTGTCCACCTATCCAAGCCCTTGACCAACTGTAACAAGTGGTCTGCCTGGTGCACGCTCAGGAAGGAGGCTGATACCACAACCACAGCACCTGCGCAATGCGGCCGGGTAGGATTTGGCCCTGGCCCCACTTTGCAGGAGTTTCCTGAGTGCCACACTGGCAAGGACCTTTGTGTTGCATCAGATTTCTGTAACCCAGCGATGAAGCGCTCGGGGACCCCAGTGAAGCTCAGATGGTGACAGGAAGACAGCCTCACTTCCAGCAAAGGGCTGCTTGGAGAAGTCTGGAGAGGGACTTTCAAGCAGGCACGGAACTCCTCAAACTCCTCAAACATCCAGAGACAGGAAAGTCTACATGTTGTATGGGGACAAGTAGGCAGTGAGACAAGGCCAGAGCCTAAGATGGGGTGACAAAGCAGGATGGGGTGACTAGCCAGTAGCAACGAGATGCTGTCCAGATGAGCAGGAAGCCAGAGATACTGTTAGTAATCGGGGAGGGTGTCTGGCTTAAGCACTCTGGGTGGAAAATGAGATTGTATATCAGATGCATTTGGGGAGACCAATGTGGAGAGATGTGGCTCAAAGGAGGGGTGTCCATAGGTCCTCCAGGAGCCCCCAGTTGATGCAGAGAGGTCTGGTATAGATGGAGGAAAAGGAGCACTTGTGTGTGATGGGATAGAGGAGAATGGGTAAGTCAGGGCCTTAACATGACGGGCAGTTCATTCCTCCCTGTCTGCTTTCCTCCTCTCGTGCTGTTTGATGTTGCTCCACTGGCCAGGTCTTCTTCCACCAGAGCTGGCCTGTATGCCATATTCTTCTGAGAGGCCCTGAGCATGGAGGGTGGACAGGGAAAGGGGTCCAAGCAACCTCGCACACTCCTAACCCAGCCTCTGTAGAGGAGTCGTGACATGTCCTGTTGGAGCCAGAGATCGCTGGATTTTAAACCTTTTCAGACATGGACTTCCTCTGGGATCTCAGTTTTCCGGTTGTGCTTAGGGGACAAATCTGAGAGCAGAAAGGTGCAGGCGTTCATTGCTGGAGGTGGCCAGGGTGCTGGGCCTGCCCTAGTGGGGCCGACAGCGGGCACATTGCTCTAGCCAGGCTCCTGCGCCTGTGTCCCACCCACCTGCTTACTGGCAGGCAGAGAGGCACAGGGCTGGGTGGCAGTGGGGAGCCCCCGCCACGTGGCCACGTGGCCCACAAGGTCAGCAGGGGTTCATGGGAAAGGACTTGTCAGCCACAGAAGAGGACATCCTGCCTGTATTTCCCTCTTCCTGTGGCAGAAGCCAGTGGCCCTGATTTAGCAGCACTGGGGGGCCACCTCTGACCAGCTGTGCTGTCTGATAACAGCTCATCCTGTGGCTGGGGAGCAGAGCCCTGACCTCTCAGAGGCCAGGGCAACTGCAGGGCACTGCTGGCACACCACGGCTGTCCTGCATCAGGTGCGTGGCACCTGCCAGGGCCGCTGCACCCCAGCACATGCATAGGTACGCAGGCAGTCTATCCCCTACCCAGCCAAACACCCACACCTGACTGCCAGCATCTGCCTGGTGCCTCCCAGGGTTCCTCTGAAACACAGACCATCAGTGCCCCCCAAAGATAAACAGCAGCTTCTTGGGCCCATGGAAGCAAGTTCTTCCTGAGGAGCCTACAAGCACCCACCACACACCCTGGCCTGATGCCTGTCCCTTCAAAAGTGCACCTAGGGAGGGGAAGGAGGGACAGGCTACTCACAGTCGGAGAAGAGCATCTTCTTCCCCACTCCCTGTGTGTCCCAGGACACAGCATCTAGGATTTCAGGTGGGCTCAGGGGGAGTCCTATCCTCACCAGGCTCGAGCATTGTCCTTAAAGTGTCCTTATTGCAAAGGACAGTTGAAGCCTACTAGGCTGAAGCCTACTAGGTGGTGACTTGTTTGTATCAAGTCACACTGTGTGAAGCACAGCCCACAGCACGCTGCTCCTTCATGTAAAAGGCTTCGTCAGATCACCTCACACGAGGGTGTATGAAGCTTTGACCGTGGACCAGGCCTCACTGTGCCCTCCTTCCAACCCACCTCCCATCCTGAGATCGAACTGAGGCTCATGCTTTCTGGGCAAGCACACGACCACAATCGGTATCCCCAGCTGTCACTGTGCCAGTTTTAAAGACTAGGACATTAAGAGCAGAGTGAACTGGCTTATTTCAGTTTTCTGAAATAAGTTTTCTGTTTTCTGTTCCTGTTGGCATGGGGGCCAAGATATAAAGAGGGCAGGACTGGCAGGTGATTGTTGTTTCCCAAGCAAAGCCCTATAGGCAGGCAGATGAGGCCCTAAATTTCTGACCTCCTTAGACAGTGTCACCTTGATGTCCTAAGCATGCCTCAAGCAGTGACATTCTTCCCCCCAGGATGCCTTTTACCAAGGTGCCCTCTGAGTGTGTGCCCCCTCCACTGCCCAGACATCACCTGTGGCACCTCATCTGCCCACATATCTCTTTGTTCCTTGCATCCCCGGCGCCAGTCACAGGTCAGTCACCCACCAAGTCTTGCTGGGGTGCTATGGTGTAAAGACAAACAAAAGCACCCCAACCTTGAAATACAGAACTGTCCTTTGCAATAAGCCAGCTCTCCACAGAGCCACATGGGAGTGCAGGAGTTCTGTGCAGGAGAGGCCCAGCATGTGACCCTTGGGGATGAGACATCAGAGTGGAGGAAGGGACAGATGGCTCATGGAGGTTCAGTTTCCAGGCCTGGAGAAGACAGCAGAGTCTACCGAGGTATAAGGAAGCGGGTGGTTTTACGCAGACAGGGACTTGCGTTCTGTCTCATCTGACCTTGGATAAGGACTGTACCAGCGGGAAGACCCCAGCGTGATGGTCCGTGGCAGGAACACTGAGGCTGGCCAGACCAGGGCTTAGGAAAGGGACAGCAGAGAGGGCACCTCCCTGGAACGCTTAGGAGCAGGTATC